AAATGTTTCTCTAAACCTCCTTTTCCCCTAAATCAACTTTCCTTTTCAGCTGATGCCAAATTTCAGCAGACCCCCAAATATGATCTTATTGTATGATCTCTATATGTTAATATAACTAAACGTAAATAATTTAAACACTATATACAACCACACACCCACACATTATATAGACATGTTAAATTAGCTTGATATGTTTTTAATGTTAGTATATATTTAATATTTAATTATTCTACACATATAAATGGAAATAATGGAAACAAGGTCTGTAAAGTCGACATGGAATCAAAATGAACTCTCCCTATATATAGGGTTAATTTTGATTCCATGTCGACTTTATAGACCTTTTTTCCATTATGACCAGGTTTATTTTAAATCAGCGAATCAGCACCATACCATTAACCTATTTTATTTAAATCCAATTATTTTTACCTTTATATGTGTAGAATAATGCGTAGTACCAACCTGGGACTAGTCTAAAAGCCTGAAGTCTTGTTCTCAACCCAAATACCATCAAGAAAAAGAGTTTTATGTTAAAACACTTTGGTAATATTATCTTTTGAAACTAAAGATTGCCAGAGGACCCTCTGAACTTTAAACAAGAGAAAATCCTTCAGGAGAGAAACACACCTGCCTTTCAATCCGCTGCTCAGTGTTCTCTACAAACTTAAGGAGCATCAAATGGAGCGCTCCACACTTTTCTACTGCGTTTTCGCTTCAGAGCTTCCATTATAATGACACATTTGAAGAATTCATTCATGGGTGAATACTTTTTTTATGCATGAGACAACAAGCAATGTTAAGTTTGTGACTTAAGCAGCGATTTGCCTCGGCCAGAGTGGCTCTGGAGAGACTAGCCTGACTTGCCTGCCAGATGTTCCTTAGCTCCTTGGCTGCTCCCCTTATGCTCAGCTTCTCTCTACACACGTTCAGTCACACAGAAACATGCACTACACACACTAACGGCTTCCAAGTTTCTTAATCCTACATGTCATTGAAGGTTTAAGCTCCTGCAGGCCATCTGGAGTGGGTGCCGGTGATTCTTCAGACAGATGCCACTGGTGTTTCTGGCTCACACATTGACACCCCTTCCATCACAGGAAATTACATCAATAACACAATTAGCAGTGCTTCCTTTTGAATCTTTGACATGTTTGGCACATCCTCGGTGACACAATAGTCATTGTCTGTCACATCAGATCCTGCAACCATCCCATTAGTTCACATTTCAATGCACTTTTAAAGTGAAATACCCGGTGATTGGCGCTAAATGGTGAGATAAATTTTCTCAGAATCTGTTAAATGTGACTGTGGCAATGTTTCATTTGTATGTATCACAGCAATGGTGAATGGTGCCTCTACACTAAACCCTAACCGAAATATTAACAAAAGTAAATGTGAGATAAAAACACATTTGTTGAAGCAACCATGCCATTTTAGCTTCCTTTTACGATGCTTTGAGCTCTTTTGTTGAGTGTCGTGACTCGTGTTTCACTGGACTCACGCCCAAGTGCTCTACATCGCAAGTGCAGTACTGTACCAGGTGCGCTACCGAGCATGTTTACTACAACAGAAGAGCCAAACATATACAGCTGGTTATGTGATACAAACATCAAAATGTATTAGTTTACAAATCATGCATTATGGTAAAAGTGTTTTGAGGTCATACATAGTATTGTGCAAGGAATGACACAAAAGTATTTATTTATTGACAATTTGCTCCATTATCATTTGTGTTAAAAGTTGTTGCTGTTTTACTGCATTTTATGTGCATAGTTGCAAAAATAGCCTGTTTAATTCTAAGGGTCAGACAGATGGTGGAAGATTGTCATAAAAAAATCATAGCATGACTTTTGTGCTGCATAGAACTGGACTAACATTGTAAGTGGACCACATGGAAAAAAATACACTGATAAATATGTATGATATGACCCCTTCAATACAATGCTTATAAAGGTGTGTCTTTCACTGCAAAAGTATAGGCACTTTAGGTAGAGGCTAAATGTGACCATATTTTCTGAAGTGTTAATGCACTGAGATTCAGTATGAGTGTGTGTAATGCCGAATACTAGCTCTCACTTGTATACCATGAATAATGCATTGCTTAGTCAAGTCAACAAAGAGAATTATACTAGTATGGCAATTCAAAAAAAAAAAAGCTGCCACATGAAGAGTGGAATAGGTTTATTAGCATATCCCCAAACCTTATTCAATAATTAATTAATTATATTTAGAGCATTCAGATATGAAACATCAAAATATTAACATATCAAATAAATGCTTTGTAAATTGTGTGTTAAGTGAGAAAATGTGAATTATTAATGAAAAAAATGACAAAATCTGCAAAGTGTCCTATAGTAGAGTACATAAAGAATGACTCAGACATGTGACTCATACTGTATATGCAAGGTGTATTTTTTATAATAGTTGGGGAAAATAACAAGTTAATATTTTATAATTTATTATAATAGTTAATATTTATTCATTCATTCATTTAAATTACCCCATACTTAAATGAGTCGCATGGCAGAGTCATTCATTATGTGCACTATTATTTTGTGTGCCGCTTTTTTTCCCCTTTACTTTCAGAGTATACCAGAATTCTTCATAATATGTTTGAAAGCACTAAAATGTGCCCTCCATCTTGAGTTGATTTGAAATCTCACCTTTAGCTTATGTATTTTCATGGTCTGCTGCATGGAGATGTCTCATGACATGAGATATAGACATTTATCGAACAGTATTGAACGGTTCAATTGCCTCTCCTTGTAATCTTCCACAGTAGCTTATAAATGTAACATGACTATTTGCTGCCAGACATTTATTCTGTAGCCTGGTTTTATTCACGAGTCTGCTCTGTCATTGCAGAATGTATACTACACCAGCACTCAGCAGTTATTCGTGGGCATCTTGAGCCCCACCATTGACGATGATGACAACAAGTGCCTGGTTGATGTGAACGGCCGGCCACGGCTCACTGAGTGCAGCTATGCTGTGGCTAAACGCATGAAGCTCCACTGGCATTTTACTCAGGTAATACACACCTGCTGCACAGTCTGCGTTCCCATATACAACAGGTTTCTTATTCCCAAGGTGTTGAATACTGACACTTTCATAAACTGCATTACATTTTTATATCTTCATGAAGTGAATAGCTCACCCAAAAATAAAAAATTGCTGAACATTTACTCACCTTCTGATCATTCAAGATGCAGATGAGTTTGTTTCTTCATCACAACAGGTTTGGAGAAATGTAACATTACATCACTTGCTCACCAGTGGATCCTCTGTGGTGAATGGGTGCCGTCAGAATGAGAGTATAAAAACATCACAATAATCCACAAGTATTCCATATGACTCCAGTCCATCAATTAACATCTTGTGAGGCAAAAAGCTGTGTGTTTGTCATCAACAAATTCAGCATTAAGATGCTACTTCCAACTAAAATACGAGTTCTTTATCCATAATGTTGCCTTCTCCAAGTGAAACGGTCATCTCATCTGAATCAGGAAATTATATATCCACAGATCAAGCACCCTTTACATGCAAAAACAGTCTAAAAAAATTCTAAATTAATATGTTGGTAGATTTTGATGTGAGCGGACAATAGAGGATGGACTTTTTCACTGGAGGATGCGTTATTATGGATTATGGATTTTTTTTCTTCACAGAAGTGACGGTTTAAAGTTAAAATGCCTTTAAAGGTGGATTTATATCTTACAAACATGCAGCTTTTTACCTCACAAGATATTAATTCATGGACATGAGTCGTGTGGATTACTTGTGATGTTTTTATCAGCTGTTTGGACTCTCATTCTGACGGCACCCATTCACTGCAGAGGATCCATTGGTGATCAAGAGATGTAATTCAAAATTTCTCCGTATCTGTTTAGATTAAGAAAACTCATCTACATCTTGAATGGCCTGAGAGTCAGTAAATTTTCAGCAAATTCTCATTTTGGGGTGAACTATTCCTTCAATTTCTCATGATATCCTGCATATAATTCCAGATTGTTAGCTATATGTATCTGAAAAAGTAGGGGTGATATTTTGGGATATCAGTTTCTGTTTTAACTAACCAACATTAAGGTTTTAAGGTTACTGTTTTAAGCTGATGTTTTTGTACTTCTGCTCCACGTGAGGTGTCATGTTTAGTCAGGGACAGGGTAGTGCCTTGAGCATGGATTGAAGTTTGAGAGTGACTGCCATGATGAAAGTTGATGTTGATAAAGTTCACGTTTTAGTCATCCAACTAAAAACGAAAACGCTAACAAAACTCAACACTTCAGTAGAGCAGAGCTCCTTGAGAAGACAAGAGATTAAAATATTAATCACTACAAACTAATTAATATTGCTGAGTCCAAATGAAAAATTTATTTTGATGCCCTTTGAGACAGTGTAATAAAGGCAAAGGTTTCTCACTGAAAACAAACCTGCATGACTCTAAAGACACTAAGAGGCACCTCTACATTTTGACATTCAGAGCTTTTTGCCCTATTACTGTATTTGGTACATCGGGAGTGAGAACAGTTTGTAATACAAGAGAGAAGTCTGTAAATAAGTAAAATGAAATATTTTTTTGAAGTCTTTTGTGGAGGAGTATTTGGTCATTAGTTCTCTTCCGGACCTCTAATTAGAGCCACAAAGGTCAGATGGAGTCATACATTCCTCAGCTCCTTTCAAATGTAAAGCTCAAATGCATCATCAACTCTATTATTCCCCTAAATCCTTTGAGTTCATATAATGAAGATAAGCCATGAGTGTAATCATGGTTTGATTTGCTCTTTGGTTGCTGGATAAGGAAATCAGCTGATTAAATATAGCCTTAAAGTTGTGTTTTCAAAACCTCCCAAACAAAATAAGTGGCACATCAAACTAAGGGGCTCTTCTGAGATCCAGAGACAAAAGGACTTTCATATTTTATAACATGACGGGTGCTATTTTCAACTAAATGCAATTTTGATAACTAGGGCAATTTATTGTGTCAAATTTGTATTAATTATGTAAAGTGAACATTGCTGCCTTTGCACTTGTATGGAGGTAAGAAGCAGGGCTATTATTGATGTAACTAAAACCATTTAAAAAAATTTTGTTAATTGAAATGAAAATTGAAATAAAATATACATAAATGGCATGCATGGGGGAAATAAATAAAAACTAAAATTAAAATTGTAATATTTTACCTAAATATTTTAAATGATAACAATATAAAATTAAAGCTACTTCAATGTTTTTTATGAAAACTATTATGATGTAATAATACTAAAATGACACTGGTAAGAAGGCAGAAAGGTACATCCAAATCTGACAACAAATATTTGCTCCGTTATCTCTAAAGCTCACTTGAATTTGTTCTAGATCAGTGTTTCCCAACCTTTTTTTAGTCGCGGCACCCTTTGGAAATTTTAACAAACTTGTGGCACCCTACAAAATAAATTGTCATAATATTTGAATTTCTAACTTCAATATGATAATTTGAAAAGTATAGATATTCGGTACAGCAGGGAAGAACTGCAGAATATAATGTCATACAGATATTTTTAATATTAAAAATTGTCCATCAATGGTGGCAATCAGTAGGCTAATTTCTAATGAAGAGACCAATTTATATGACAGATTTTAATGTAGGCTTTTATACATGTGTAAACATTATTTAATTACCATTATAACTAGCTATCTCACAAATTTTTGCTCACTCAGTGTTTTTTTAATTTTACAGTGGGGTAATTTTGGTGCAGTAGCACGAGATAGCTTGATTTCAAACTTTGAATTGAATAAAAAATGACAAGAAAGCAGTCAGTAATAAAATAAGAACAAATAAAGAAATTAATAATGATAGCACAAATAAAAAATAACGAATTAAATAAATTGCTTTTTAGTTTTTCAGGTAGGTCTAACAGTAGGGCTATTAAGAGATTTGGGGCTAGGTTTTTTTTTTTTTTTTACCAATTATCCAAATAATGTTTAGTCCTAGAAAGCTATTATTATCAGAACACCTGAGCATAACATAGCGGTTAGCAGATCAATGAATGAGAGGGCAGCGTTACCAGAGTTGCTCATATACCACACCATGTTACACCACAGTAGGGCTATTGCAGACAGAAACAATACTACATCGATGTTTCCTGTCGGCTCGATTTTTGAGTGGACTTTGCTGTTCCGATTCATATGAACGGTATACGAGTGGAGCGACTGAGCGGAGCGCACACGCATAGAGCGGGATAATACGCAGAACGTCACACCACGTGAAAGTGAATCCTGAGCGGTGAACTAATTTTCGGCAGCCGAAATTTCGGTACATCTCTAATTATTGGCGACATCAGAAATGGATATTATATAATAGATGCTTTTTTGAACATTTTAGCAATTTAAAAATATTAAAAAAGGATTTTTTACACGGCACCCCTGCTCTCGATTTTTGAGTGGACTTTGCTGTTCTGATTCGCATGAACGGTATACGAGTGGAGCTGAGCGGAGCACACACGCATATAGCGGGATAATACGCAGAGTGTCACACCACGTGAAAGTGAAACCTGAGCGCTGAACTAATATTCGGCAGCAGAAATTTCGGTGCATCTCTAATTATTGGCGACATCAGAAATGGATATTATATAATAGATGCTTTTTTGAACATTTTAGCAATTTAAAAATATTAAAAAATGATTTTTTACACGGCACCCCTGCTCTCGACAGACGGCACCCCGGTTGGGAAACACTGTTCTAGATCATTAGACATGATGTTATGGTGCCTTGGAAGCATGTCTGACAGCTGTTTACTTAAGAGGTACTTTCATACACAGATGCTGTCTGTTTAGTCACTGACTGACAAGGCAGTGAGGCAGCAAGGCAGCTGTCTGAGGTTTCAGAAGCAGCCATCATCTTCCAGCGGAAGAAATATAGTCATGGCTGAAGGGGTCCCCTTTAGACATCCCTATATTCATAATATAGAGCCTTTTGTACCTTATTGCTCAAATATATGTATATATAATTAATATTACAAATATTTAATACTGTATTTGTAAATATTTTATTATATTATATTATATTATATAATTATAATACATGGTAAAAACAATGTAACATATTTTTTATCATTATAACATCTTTATTTTCATCCATTCACAGTAGATTTGGTCATTTCTACTCTAGAAATGTGTTTGTCTTCCATTTTTAATCATTAATTGAATTTAATATAGAAAAACTTTGATTTAAAAAAATATAAGTTTAACGGGTTCCTGAGGGTGTTCTGGAGGAGCGGGCACTGGTGGGCACTCTCGAGGCGTGGGCACAGGAGTGCGCTCTAGACTGGATTCAGGGACTGGAGCCCTCCTTGGGCTAAACTTGGGGACAGGAGCCCTCCGTGGGCTAAACTCGGGAACAGGAGCCCTCCGTGGGCTAACTTGGGAGAAGGC